ATTGTCATCTAAAAAGGATTTCACCTGTGCATAGACCACTTTTTCTAAAATCTTTGAGATAAAAGGTAACTTAGAAATAGGCTAAAAACTATTCAACATGGATTGATCCAAACGTGGTTTTTTTGAGTAGAGGTTGTAAAACTGCATGCTTAAAATAACCAGGCACATCACCAGAAGATAAACTACTATTATTAATTTCCAACACCGTGCCTCCAATACATGGGAAGACTTCCTTAAATAAAGCCGGAGAAACGACATCTCGAGGGGAGCCAGAAGGCTTGGCCTGGGCAACCACTCCCTCCAAAAAAGTCAGAGTTACCGGCTCAAAAACATCAAAAGTAGTCAAACAAGGAGTAAAGACTGATGGATCGGGCACTAACCCAACCACAGTGGCCTTTATAGTAGCAACCTTCTCATTAAAATAAATTAAAAACTTATTACATAGTTCAACCGTTGCTTCCTGACAAACAGGCTGCAGGGGATTTAAAAAAAATACTGCAGCTCAACCTGACTGCTACACACACTAGAGAAACCAAAAATGGCAAAACCAGGGAGAAACAACCAAAATCAACACACTGAGAAAACTACAGTAGAAAACCAGCAACCAAACACCAGAGAATGGCAGACTGGAGACACAAAGGTAGAGTCACAAACAGGAGGAAACCAGATGAAGGCAGATCACAGACAAGCACAAAGCAGAAGGTGATAGCAGGGAAGAGGATGAGAAGGAATAAACCAAAAGAGAACTGAGCTAGCCCAGGTGAATGTAAAAGATGACACCCAGAAGACAAATGACATACAGGTGACAGTGATTAAGGGTAATCAGGGACAGTGTGAAGCTAGGACTGTTGACATCACAGAAAAAAAGGAACTGACTACAAAATAAAAGCATAACACAGGAATTTAGTTTGTTCATTACAGCTGATTCAAGGTTGTTTGTTGTCATACATATTCAATACATGTGAGTGGCTTAAAGGAACCTATTCCCAGTATGAGTCAGACCCATACTGTCTTACTGGTGCATCAGTCCTGTAATTACAAAGCTGAACCAAAATCATGACACTCCCACAAAGATGATTATGCAAAAAAGTAAATTAGCTGGTTTGTGCAATCAACAAGCACAAAATGTACTTAGACTCAAGTTTCGAGTGAGCCGATGCGTGCTAAATTACAGCCACAGGTTAACAAACACATTGATCCTCTGATCCCAAGGCTCCTATGTCAATTAGTCTCAAAGTTCGCCTGCTGATAACCATGGTTGTCTTGGCAACAAACTGAGCTGACAAGGA